CCAAATTACTGTTCCTTCCCTCTCGGCCAAGGAGACTTTGATCTCCTTGGGTGCCTCACGGGGGGGAAGCGACTGACCTCAAGGTTAGATCTGGTCAGGAAAGGTTCGTTTACTGTGCTCTGAACGTAGTTGAACTAGACCTGACTTAGACCTAACCTGCGAGGATTCTCGCTGTGGTCTTATATGTGCTGGCTAGACATCACTTTTAGGTGGTTAGGAATCTATATATCAAGTTCCATTGAAATCGGTTCAGTAGTATAAGAAATTCCATGTACGATGCGTATTTTTGCCCGTATTACCGTATAAATCGAGAACGCGGGCGAAATCGCGAAAATTCACTAGGGCTAGACATCACATTTAGGTGGTTAGGAATCTATATATCAAGTTTCATTGAAATCGGTTCAGTAGTGTGGAAGAAATTCAATGTACGATGAATTTCTTGAGGCACGGCCGTGAGACCGGCTGTGAGACAGGCCGTGTTTTTGTCCAGGAGGTCAGCTTGCATGGCAAGCTGTAGTGCTGTACTATGATATGTAGAATGGCATTACTACGATATTTCTCATTAATATGTATTTAATTACGTGGATATAACCCCTGAATTTATTACGAAAAAGTCCAGATTCTTTTATGAACACTAGCTTGCCGTTTTAAAATGTAACCAATGTAAACTGAAAAACTTTTTTAAAACACAATAAAGAATTTTTTAAACATTTATTTAATTCAATTTATATGTTTTACAAGGGAGACATGATATCGTTTATATTTGAAAAAAAGGTTTAATCAACATTCGTTGTGACTGAAATAAGTCATCGTTCGATGTTCGTTCGAACGTGGAACGAACGAGGCTCGGCGATCCTGTGACTGCCCTGCGGATGCCAGGTTTGCCAGATGGACCTTTTTCCGGCCAAATCCGACGATTGGTGCCTTTTTTTCCAATTACGTTGCCGGCAAAAGTTTATAAAGCTCCTAAAATAATTGTATTTTTTCATGTATATGTAGAAACGATTTTGGTTTCTTTCATGATATGCGAAAAATTGAATTCCGGCACCTCGAATTACAAATTTCCCATTATATGTCGAGTTTTGTCGACTGTCGAGTTCGTTTGCGGGGCCTTTTTGTGACTTGGTTTGGGCCGTTTGGCTGTTTTCTCGTGCCACCATCTTGCAACCCTGGCCGCACGCGCCGCGCGGTCCAGTTTTTTGTCAGTACTCAGTAGAGCGCGCGAGCTTAGTTCGTCGATGACATATTCTTTAAGCAGGTTTCATTGAAGACGAGAGAATTCGTTTTATTGACAAATTTCTTATTATTTTTTTCAATAGATCGAACAAGATTTTTAGTTTGCACGGGTAAATCGAAAATCAGATTACCGAAGGACATTTTTATTTCTTTAACAACGTTTCGAATGTTTCTATCATTCATTATCAAGTTAAAAGGCGCATTGAGTGATGGAATTTGGCTCGACATAAGTACAAAATCAAGTAAATAGGATACTACTCAAAAATCAAAATTGTTAGGAATAATTACAAAATCACAAAATAATTTAGAATCAAAGCACCGAAAATTACTCCGAAAACAGTCTCAAGGTTCTGACAAATCCAGTAGTTTGAAGGTTGATGGCTGGGGTCCTATCCTTAATGATGAGGGCCTCAGCTATCATGAGTCGGTTGGCGTCGGGGCATCTCATGACGACGCTGGTGCATTCTTCCAGCACCGTACGAGTGATGGTCTCGTTGTGGGCTTCCATCAGGTGGTTCTTTGGTCCACCAGACTGAAGGTGGCACGTGAGACGTCGGCTTAAGGTCGTAGTTGTGAGCCCGATGTAGTCCATATTGGGGAGAAGTCTACAACCTTCTCTATTGAAAGAAAATTTATATACTACATTGGTCTCTTGGAAAACTCCCGTTTTTTTGCAGGGGTTATTGTTCATTACAAGATTCTGTATTTTCTTGTTCATGTAATATATCAGTAGTTTAATTTTATTATTAGTTTCGTTCACGATGTCACATTCACGTACGAACGATAAGCGACTGTACTTATAAATACGTATAATTTTACGTAAGGTGTTGGCTCCATAATGAAACTAGTTTTATAGAACAAATTTTGAATGTGGTATATTATTGAAACTTCAAATATTCACTATTTGGTATGAGATTCAACACAATAACTTGAAGAATGGACGCTTAAATTGACTTGATTATCTGTTGCTTGGCAGTAAACAATTTCCTTGACAACGCATTAATTATGGCCAATTGCCTGACGCATATCTGACAACGTCAGAGAATAATGCAATACCTATAACGCGATATTGTGACAGTGATATTGTGAAAATTTGTGTTGTAAGGGTGGTGTTGTAATATACACTACTGAGTCGGTACTTAAATTATGCAAATTTACGTCTTTGTTGTAAAGAGTATTATTTATAAAAGTAAACCACGCCTATGAACAATTTCTAGAAGACATGACACATTCAAAAACCCACGATAAGAGAAAATACTATTCTTGAGCTCAGTTCCGTTTTCAGCGTTATTTGAAGTAAAGTGCATCGGTGAGACAACATCGACGAAAACGTGCAAAAAAATAATTGTATATGGGCTTGTAGAATGATGTGGTTAAGCTTCGAAATAACTTTTCATTATTTAGTTAAATCTCACTATGAATCAAATCTATTTATTGTGAAATTAAACTTGACATTGCCAAAACAGGACCTGGAATAACCCGTACGATCCGAGCCACTGAAATTTCATACTTTAACTGATCAAGAAACCGCAGTGGAAAAGAATGCGAGAAACGTAAATTTTCAAGCAAGGATGCTAATTTATATTTCCATTAAACATAGAAAATATTATCAAAGAGTCGCATATTGACTTTGCAATACTGAGGATGGCTGAACTTGAATCTTGGTCTGCATGGCACCAATAGCACGCTCTTTAGAGTTCCTAGATGCAGAAGCGATGAAGCAGTTGTTTGTTGCTGTCGTGCGCCCGAACCTAAAGTTTGGAAACGTCGTGTGGTCACCGAAACTTGAAAAGGTCAGAAATTTAATAGAGAGTTTTCAAAGACGTGCAACAAGGATAATTCCGGGCTTGAAAAGCAAGTCCTATGAGGAAAGATTAAAGACTATGAAGCTTCCAAGCCTCAGTTATCGACGTCTGCGTGGGGAACTCATTGAAGCATACAAGTATACTCATGGCTTATACAAGGTTCCAGAAGGATTACTAGAATTTGAAACAAGAGTCAACACCAGGGGCCACAGCTATAAACTAAAAAAACTGCGTTGTAATTGTAACACATCCATGCGACAACATTTCTCGCTTCGAGTCACCGACATATGGAACAGCCTCCCTGATAGCATCGTTGACGCTCCGAGCATGAACATCTTCAAGAACAGACTAGACGAAGCTATGCAGGAGCATATGTTCAGTCATAAAATGCCTAGCAAATTACGGACCAGGCAATAAGTCCAGCAGCTATCTCAATCAATCGTCAGTTATGGAAAGATCGGGTTACAAAGGCCGGATCCCTTGTGAATCAAGTCACGAAAAATTCAAGAATCGGCAACAAGCCATGGGCCTATTTCTTCAGTGCCGACATTTCTATTCTATTCTAATGTTACGAGTTCATGAAAACATAACATAAAAGGAGTAGCGAATATTGGAGGTCGTATGACGAAACCTGTTAACTGATTTTCGAACATTACGATGATCTTAAGTTAGTACAAATATGCACGTCAAAGAAGGTTCCGCATTTGTAAGTAACTGGATTTGCTCGAGGTTTAAGGACTGTTGAATTGAAGATAACGTGATGGTCTCAGAGAATTCGATAGCCGGTGAGCGACCTTCAATATAGGAGTTTACTTCAGTAACATGGACACGGACACAATTTTTTTGCTCCCCATCTATGTAACCCGTTTATCTACAGTTCGTTCCCAACCTACAGCTACACCCTAACCTTCAGAAGATGGCACCTTTATCTACATACTCTTCCCTAGGGGGGCAGGATAGATTGTTGTGGTTAGTTATGCCTATTACTGAACTATGCGGGGCTGGTCTGGGGAGCGACTGTTCGATACCCCGGCTGGGGAGGTGGGAGGTTTTTCAGAAGTGGCTACTTCATTTCGTCCTCCCCAACTGCCATGTCGCTGGAGGTGGTCTGGTCGTAAAATCAGAAGTTTCATCCGCCATCTTGCATCGTTGTACTACTGCTTCTGCCCTATTTCCATGGGCGACATGGATGATCTTCCAGAGCTATATATATGTTACGGACACCGTTATATTTGTTATGATGAAATTCAGCATGTGAATTCCAAGGTTGAATAAAACACCATTAAAGTACACTACTGTAATCAATAAAAAAATATTCATTCAAATAAGTGCGTCAGCATGTCATCTTGAGCTCTAAATCTACGACAGAACTTACTCGGAACACGAGAGCACTGGAGAGGGTCAACAAAACCTGATTGAAAATTTTTTTTTTTGGAATCGAATAACCGAAAATTCAAGCAGTGGCGGAATGAACCTAAGCAAGAACGATTTTCAATACATTAGATGGCAAGAAAAAAATTATATCCCGATTCCAGCATAACGAGTATAGCTGGAGTTGACGCAGATATACAGGGTGTCCCAAAAAGACGATACTCAACTTTGAATGACTGTAACTCGAAAAGTAATGGAGTTAAAAAATTTTGGAAGGTCAGTATTTGTTCCCTATGTTTTTTTCCATCTCTCCACCAAAAATCAGACAGATCGATGTAGCCATAAGCGTTTGATAGAACTTTCAGTGACGTGTGCTAAAATCGTGCCTGCGCAAAATTTAGTAAGATCATTTTGCATAATCATTACGTTGTCTTGACATGTTTTCTTTTCGCTGTTTTATTAAAAAAACATGTCAAGACAAAGTAATGATTATGCAAAATGATCTTACTAAAACTTTGCGCAAGCACGATTTTAGCACACGTCACTGAAAGTTCTACCAAACGATTATGGCTACATCGATCTGTCTGATTTTTGGTGGAGAGATGCAGAAAAAGATAGGGAACAAATCCTGACCTTCCCAATTTTTCCAACTCTATCACTTTTCGAGTTACAGCCATTCAAAGTTGAGTATCGTTTTTTGGGACACCCTGTATATCCCTTTCCTTTATTTCCAACACAGAAAAAACTCGATTTTTTGGAAACGTTACTACGATAGTTTTGATTTGTTGATAAAAATATTTCAATGAAGCATGAGCAAATCAATTAAACAGTAATAAAAATACGTTCAGAGCACAATTTCTAAACACTAAAGCAAGTTAACTGATCACTGAAATAGTGATGTCAACTGAACATGAAATAGTTCAATAACGTTCAATTCTTTAGATGGTACGAATTGAACGTTATTGGAAAATAACGTTCAATTCGTACCATCTAAAGAATGCTGAAAAAATTCATATCTCAAGGTAAACCCTGCAACACCTTATCGTTAAGAGATTTCCACTGAGACAAAAAAAGAACACAGATTAATGTAATTAATATGGTTAAGACACAGAGAATGCCAGGTCTCCAGTATCACTCGCGTGATAGAGTATAGTGCAGATCTCAGCGACGATCCATGATGGTATAGAACCAAATGTCGGACGGCAGATAAGTAATGCTTGGAAGACCCGCCCTAATTTTTAGTCGAAGTAGAAAAGAAACTCCACTGAAACAAAACTAGGAAAAATTGATCGAATCTTAAATTACATGAATCGTTCAGAGGCATGTTATACTAACAGGCGGTTTTGAACTATAAATCACCAAACTGAATTTTTCCTCTTATAAATCCGTGGTCATAGCCTCAACATTTCGAAACATGAAAGATTATTTGGAACGTACCAACTAGAAAACATCTGACACTTGTTTCGTTGGTAAGAAATGACGCCATTTGGGCATGAACAAAACAAAAGGAGACTATATCGCTACGACACCGCATAGCAGCCTGGTCAGCTCCACTCATCGTATCACAGAACTGCAGCACAAGCCTGGTGAGGCTCAGGATTCACAAATGGGAATCGTCAAAATAGAGATCGGGGTAGCATTCCCATTGATTGTCATTCCACAATCGTATGTCAGTCGTCCTCTGCAAGATAAGTTAAGTTGCAAATCAGGCACTAGAGTTTGAGGAAGTCTTGTAAAACTGATGCAATCATAAGTCAGGCTATTATTTGCAATACGCATACGAGCGAAATTGTTATAGATATGATATACAGCATAATTCAAATTAAACAATATACACACACATTGAAGCATTGGTACTGGCAAGAATTGGGTGTACATTTCGATATTAAAAAAAACTTCTATACCAATTAATACACTAATGTCACATCTACTAATACTTACAAGTTCCGGAAAAAATTATCGCGATTAGATTGAAATTGTGTATGATAGATTAAAATTTTGTTCAAAAGTTCAGCTTCACCAATGACCACTTCGAAAACAGAACTTTGATAAAATAAATAGTCATACAACTAGTAATATAAGGCTGCACAATTTATATGAAAGCTCAATCTCTAAAGATCACGAACCAGGAACTCATCGGCATCCTACTGCTGGTAGACGTCGTTGCCGAAGTCCAGCCACTTGTCAAAGCGACACGACCCGACGAGCTCGTAGATGTACGAGTTAAGCTTGTGGTCTGAAACAAAAACACATCCATACACATCAGAACAATTGTATGTCTTTATATTGACACCCGGGACCAGTTTAAGTTAAATAAAATGTATAAGTTAATTAAGGTTCGATTATTGTCCAAATGTTTATAAACGTAAATGACGACTGGCAACTCTAAAAAGTAGTAACTATTTATGGTAAGGCAGAGCGAAGTATTAATACAGGAATAGATGAGGTAACTAGATCGATATGTTCGATAGTGGACCGGGGAGTGTCGGAACCGTCTTCACGTTAGTGGACGCTTTTATAGGTTGGACTACGATTGACGCATGGGATGCGTGAGGCACTTACATAGACTCCCTACGATGAAGTCACGGAGGGTGACGCGGGTGTTGCTACTGGAGGTATGGGTGGTGACGTATAACTTAATGTTACAGTACTACCTGACACAATACAACAAATTCTGGAGCATTCAGTTGTCGTGTTAATTCCTGTATGGGATTCGTGCCTTGTTTTAAACGGGAAAATTCAAACGGGAGAAAATTAAAGAGATATGCATGGTTAGGTAAAGTAAAAAATTCAGCATATTGAAGCTAGTGTTCAATTTCAACAAGGTTAATCAAGGGTACGGTAGGAAACTCATTGATGATCATATCAGATGTCTCTTAAACCAGAGAACATGTCTCTTAAAAACACCGCATCAAATATCAATTCATTATTACTTATCCGAAGAAAGTCAAAGCAGGTTACGTGATTCGCCCCAATATGTGGAATAAATGTGGAAGAAAACCTTTGATTTTGATGAAAGGATCTGAAGGATCGAAGGCTACGTGGTGGGCGTAGTTGACATGCAGCACGAGGGGCTCGTCGTGGTCGAGACACTGTGAGGGGAACTTGGCCCTGCCCTCGGCCAGCGCCTTCCTGCGCAGCGCAGTGAGCTCCTGTGCCGTGGAGAGATCCACGGACACCATCGCGGCGCCTATCTCGACCAGCTGAACGTGGGCCACGAGCCTGTAATGCACCACGCATTATAAAGCTTGTCTGGAGCAACGGCACGGCGGCTACCGGCAGTTATAGCTTGTCACACGTGGGCAACAGCGAGGAATTAAAGAGTGTGCGGCACAATTCTATAGGACACACCATGGAGGATTTATCTGGACACATCATGGAGGTACGCCAGCAGCTAGTGTGGAACTAGAACGAACCATGACCGGAAGATGAAATGAATTCTTTACCTGATTTGAGGGAGTAAGGTGAAAATGAATAAAAAAAATTTCGAGAAATATATAAGCATCACGCATAAATAAAAATCTATGATTTAAATTTTAAGTAACAGCAATGGAGTGTGATGAAAACATAAATTGTGACCATCAACAGATTTTATACGATATCAATAAATACAAAAAAATCCTTTCATCACACAATCAATATCAATTTGTTCCTCAAAAATATTATTTTGTATACCTACGTTTTATATTTCTGCGTGTGTACGTGGTATAGAAATGCCTATCGATCACCCCCCTCCATTTGATATCCGAACAGCTACAAACGTGCCAGCTAAGAAGCTTACCACTCCGGCACCTGAGTTCACACAAATTTGCGAGGACCAGAGATAGACTCACAGTTTAAGCTGAACCATTGAGAATTTCTTGCTTTTGACAAAGACTCGCTGCAGTTTAGGCATGCGCAGGAGGCTCTCGTAGGAGTTATCGTCCAAAGCGACGGACGGCAGCGTCAGGGACAACACTGACGTCGGCGCCAGCGAAAAGTCCACAGTTAAGACTTCATTTTCGCTGTGCATCTGAGGAGAAAAATTAATATTATCAGAAGATAAAAGAGAAAGGGATCAACTATCAGCCGAACTAATCTTTCAAGACTTCCTGTCCTCGGCGTAATGTTTGGATGAGAATCTATTAAAATCGTCCAAATTGGGTTAAACGACGTGACCCTCGAGGAAAATTGCAATGAGGAAAATTCATGCTATGCAAATCATAGTTAGTATATCCCACGTACACTTTATCATTCCGAAATCAAAAAGGAAAAGGATACTATTAACATATTAAGATATATTCAAGACTTAGTCACACGCCGTCGATCGTGAACATGCAAAATTACTGAAAGTAAGATTATAGTATGTGCTTGAGTCTTTATCAGTTACAGGTTCAATTCATCCACGAATTTTTTGGTTCCAGAGTATCTGCGTGCTAGCTTTTGGCATTCAAATAGTTATGTTGAGCACATAGCACTAGCAGGCATTGACTGTTAACCTCGACAAAAAAAAAACTTTAAACAAGAAAGAGTTCATAGATCACATCATAACAATAAGTGAAAATCTAAATTAGAACACCTATACAAGTAAATAATCTGAATAGCAAACCATGAAGTTAAGAACTCTGACATCTTCAACAACGGTGAATATGGTGAAAAGAAAATTTAAAGAAGAGGTTTTCAAGTGAAGGTCCTAGACTCAATTCACTTGAAATTTCAGTCTCGTTTAGACTAGCAGCTCACATTATATACTTCCCAGCTAGGTAACTCGATGTAAAGATCCTCGACGTCAGGCAGAGCGCTTTTGAGAAGAACCTTGATTTCACGAGCAGCAGCAATAAAGTGCAGGACCTGCAACAACAATAAGCCGTTTTTGTCACTAAAATTAAACAGCAATAAGACAAACTAACAATTTCTTCAACCAGCGCAGGAATGGTTGATTAAGATTCGGTATTGAGACTAATCAAACCAATCTTTGTACACACGTACGTGTCTCAAGCAGAAATATTGAAATGAAATTTCAAAATTCAGGCTTGTAACAAGGTCAATTTAAATACCTTCAAGTTATTGAATGTCTTGAAATTGGGTGGCACATGATACCAGGAGCAATCAAGCTGAAGTTGGGTCAGCGCAGGACACTTGCGTGCCATGGATGATAACAGAGCTTCCGCCATATAACTTTATGCAAAAAAATACAAGTAATATTACTCAACTTCGCATGGAAGTCGTATCCTCACTAAATGCAAGTCAGATATTTACTCATTATGTTCAGGCAAGCACGTTCATTGTAGGAAAGTTCCTTAAAATAATTTTCGTGCTGATTTACCCGCGAGAATAAACCGTTTGATTCAACTATACCCAACAGCTTCACGGCAAGGGACAATTTAGGAAACACGAACTAATATATTTTAGGAGCATTTTCAACTACATTCAGAAATGATGCTCGCATTTGAGCAATTTTAAACAATAGATGCTTCCAAATGTCTGCAATGAGCCATGGCTTCATTAGTAGTAATGCGCATTTAACACACATTTCTGCCATTAATCACAGCAATGGTATGATAATTAAAACAAAAAATTGCTTGATTTTACAAATCAAACAATGTGAAACATCAAGATTTGTTGTCAGAGAAACTGCCCTCAAGCATTATACCCTCAACGAGAACACATCTACTTAAAGATAGTGCTTCCATTCAAATTAAATTTGCAATATATTCAGTTAAAACAGCAAGTTTGGTTATCTTCAGAGGCGCTCAAGGAGACTATCACCTAATAGATTTCATCCATGCCAACGCTAATTACATACCTCCAACATGTTACTTTCTCTGTTATTCCCTTTATCTATTTTCCATGTAACCTGTTTTTCCGTCAGATCGCTTTTTTATATAACCCGTTAGGAGGTATTCAACTTACATACGTGGCGTCATTATATTGTTGAACATGCGGAATGTCGTGAGGCTTGAGTTAAACGCGAAGTCCGGATAGCTTTTATGTATTTTGAAGTTAGATAAGGTATCAATGTTGTGGAGTGAAAGCTCTTTTAGAGGAGTTTTCAACTCCAATAGAAGAGCCCAGTCAAGATTCTTCACGCTGCCCAGCCGCAACACTTCCAAACATTTGCATAGCTTCAAGTCTCGCAGCAATTCGTCAGAGCGGCCTATGCCCTAAAAAAAATATTCGTTTATTGATTGGCACTTCGAAAGGTCTCAAGCAAATTACTTGTACTCCTCGAACTGAACAAATAAATTTTTTGAACACTTCGAACGAATTTTATCTTGAACATTTTACAGGGATCATAATATAAAAAAGTCACATAAAATACTCTTCCAAAGCAGAAGCCCAAAACTGTCAGCAGATCATAACACCCACATGTGTTAAAAACGTGAAAAATATTCTGAGCAAATCGCTAAGATGTGGAAGTCACAGGTGGAAAATATGCAATAGTTTTGGCTCGACCAGGAAATGACCACCACATGAAATGAGTGTTGATTCATCAAGATTACGTCAATGTAAAGGTAGAATAATTCCGGCACTGCATCTTTATTAGAACTTAGACCTGCTTGGTATATAGGTGATGATAACGTGCTTTTGATAGACAACCATGCATGATACACAGGTGCGGACAATGCACCATCGTTAATACCCAGCATTGACAACTCTGCCGCACAATCCTCACTTCGAGACTTAAAGTCCTGAGTTTGGTGCAGCGCGAGAAGATGGTCTTCATGGGAGTGTAGTGCTTTCTCTTTGACGAGAACTGCAGGCATAAATCCTCCAAATTCACAGCCAGTTGACCTAAAATTGAAAAATGTCAGTGTTCTCACTTATTTGCAAAACATTCGTACATGAATTCAACTAGACTGTTAGAATCTTTTAAATACCTAGTCTTTATTGATAGTTTCCTACAAAAATGTATAAAATAATTGAATGAAGCAACATAAATGAAATAAAAAAGAATCAGAACATCAGAGATCGTTTTGTAACTGAAATTTGTAACTAAATATTGTAGTTTACAGGTCTGATTTGGAAGAAGCAGGGACAAATTTAAGTGCGTACCTATAGCAGCAAATACGTTGACATCAAAGATGCAGTGATACTCGTCGAGTTTCAGAGTAGTGATGAGGTTAGCGTTCATAATGAGCATCTTGTAGGTGCAGAGCTTGAGGTCCTGCGTGAGCTCGGCTGGCGACTTGCTGGAATGCAGAGCAAACATGGCTATGCCGTTACCAACTATCAATACTAAACAAGGCAATATATGTGTCAAGCAAAAACTTGGCAGAAAGAATGAATGAAACAGCCTACTACAAGTACAATTGAGTCAAAATTTTTGCAATATTTATAATAGATGAAAGAAAAATATAATTTAAAAAAGTATAATTATGAATATCAATAAATCATAGCAATTCATGAGAAAGTTGTCATAAGGAGCGTTCTGTTATTAGGCTATTTCACACAATAAGCTGAAAGTAAACCAGGTATTTTCATTAATTTCTCCAATCATTCTTCAACCCACAATGGGCTAAAGGTCTCAAGTGGCCAGGTCGCAAAAGCTGGCAAGAAAGAAGCTGAGTTAGCATATCAAAGAGACGAAGGAATATGACGGAACAGGTGATCAGAAACATAGACCCTCGTACAAGAGACTGTTCACACGAGACGTCGGCCGCCGCACGAGACAGAGAAGAGAAATGTTAAGAATCCTGCATACGTGACGACAACACTACAACTAAGACCCACAGTCATACACCACGAGCTCTGCGGTGGGGCACCCAGGGTCAATGTCTTTAAGAACGTGAAATCCAATAGAACTTCTGACGAGCACAGACACGCGTCTGAATTCCCATCAGGGGTGTGCCATCATACAACCACACTATTACTTCCCTGTAGTGGCAGTCATGTCACAACACGATCCCTTGACTTCCCTGCACAATCACGTCCAATCAAACAGCAGGCAAGAGCTTACCTGCGACATTTGGGGAGGTTGGAGTGAGCACTTCGCCAGACGCAGCCGTCATCAGTGAAGTCTATGACGTTATTCTGGCCCAGCTCGCGGTAAACCAGAGACTGGAAGCGTCGACACACTGCAATAAGAATGAACCTAGAAATAGATTCTAAAAAGGCAGAATATTTATTTATAGATAATAGCTTGCCTTTTCCTGTTTAGCTGCAAACTTAAGCCGAACAGAAAGTAGGTGATTACAATGAGGAATAAATTTACGTTCAATACAGTGTAGTTTAAAGAGAGATGCTAACACCGTAAAAAATTACAAACAGTAAAGATCATCAAAAATTTGCAGGAGATACACCTGATAGTAGCATTTAAACAATCGTGCAAATCCTTTTCTTCATTATTGTTTAGTCATATATATACATTTTCTATAATGATCTATGATGTATATGTATTATCTTAATAACAACTATAGTTAACTCACATGATAGCAATAAATGGATTGATTAAAATAGCTGCTGATATACAGCCTGAGCTGATGGGCTGCAACATTCATGCAACTTGCCTGCTTCAAGCATCAGTTTTTCAGCAACATTAATGTATTTCATAATATGAAGCAAGACATCATCATTGAGGACATGAAGTGTAGGCTGTCCACTACATGCAGGGCTCAAGTCAAACTCTTCACTGGACAGCATATGAGGCTTGTAGTGCTTTGAGGAGGGTCGTGATGTGTTCGAGTCATAGGATTGCCTTAGTAGTGCTTTCTGCTTCCCAAATAACTTAAAATGATGACTCAAAATGCTGAAAAAGACGTATTTGCAATTAAATTTTAATTGAAAGAACTTTCTTTCAAATAAAATGAAAGAAAAATTTTTCCAGATATGTTGTCAATGCCATCTTGAAATCTAATCTTACTTCTTTGTAATCAATGTGTTAGGTATCAATACAAAGAATCCCATAGCTTCCAGAATAGAATTATCTCTTCCTTAAACTCATTCGTATCGACCTTATAATTTATCTTGCTCCTATAACATTGCTGTTTGCAGTTTTCAGAAGTGGTAACAAGCCAATAAGTGAAACGATAGTTGCAAATAGAACAAGTAACTAGGAAAGGTCAGCCAAATGCAGGAGAATCAGTAAGATGAGGCAAAGTTTTAGTTACACCAATGCAGTGATACAATGTTATAGGAGGTCCAACATAAGATGCTAAAACAACAATTCAAGTGAGAAGGCAAGTTTTGATCCAGCAAGTATTGTGGCAGTAAGGCCAGCTATGAAGCCAATACAAATTGAGGTGCAAATAAAGATCTTTTAAGGCAGGCTGAACTAAAAAAGTGACATAACATATATTAATATGATTTTGGTATCCTTATAATCCATGCATCTTCTTGAACTCTAACTGAAAATAACAGCAAGTTGGAGCGAATATTGCAGCCATCACATCAGAATAAATGTACTTTTTGAGACATCTAGCCAACATCTTGCTGCCTCTCCCTTTCCCCCAAAATCACTACAGGTGTGAACCTAATGTAAAGTCTTCCCTACACCAATACAGAAAAACTTTGTACATTGTAACAAATTTCTCAGACCTTATCCTTGATGCTAAGAATTCTTACAGAATCGAAAAAAGACATTACTTTCAAACCCAAGCCATATCAATTAGTAATAGCATCAGAAAAGGTAATTGGGAAAATTGAGGTCTTTTTCAGTGTTCAGTATAGAATTCATAACTTTGAGGCCGCTGTTAGCACACCAAAATGTGACACTGATGTTTTAGCAGGGCAGAAAGGCATATGGGAATTGCTGTAGTTTCTCACAACATCAAAAATACACAACATGTTCATTAGGCTTTCTCAACTCACGAATCACTTTCATCCCAGCTGGGGGGAACAATGATGGCATAGCGTGGCTTACCACGCTTCCTCTTCAGAGTGATGCAGTCTTGTGCAATAAAGAACATCTCCGCCATCACATCTTTAGTAACCTGATATTCAAATTCAAATGAAAATCAAAAGATGAAGATTCGAAGAAAAATATGAGTTAAAATATTTTTGTTATGCTCTAAAAATGAATAAATTGAAATTAATTACAGCATTTGTGTTAATTACAGTAAAAATAGGTTGCATTAGTTGATTTATAAATAACAAACCAATCATGAACTACCAGTTGATAATAGTTATAGGAAAGTCAGACAAAGACATTGGCACAAAATACTACGGTCGTGAACGCAAATAAACTTCCACCTCAATTATTTCTAGATAAAAGTCATTAGGCCCCCCAAAATTTGAAAAAATACATTAAGATAAAATCATATTTTGAGATTTTCTTCAAAGTCTTACCATTTCTGATGAGCATGAAACTTTTAAAACAAATTAATGTCACCTACAGCTACAACAGGCTTTTTTAGAATGCTTATGTATTACAACATATTGTTAACAGAAACATTTCAAAACTGAAACTCCAAGACAAACAAGGTAATATAAATGCAAAAATTACACAATTGATTACAGGAAAGATACAAGCAAAATCAAGAAATCTGACTAATTAGGACAAAAAGATAAAATTGCAGTGTTTAGCCAATAATAACACAATAGAAGGGGACAAACTGATTACTGGTTAAATAGAGTTAGGTCAATACAGACCAGCAATAGCTAAACATTTAGGAGTTAACTTACCCAAAGAGGTACATTGAACATCTCTATGGTCAAGGGTGCAATTTGAGATGTGAGGTCTGGAAATTCATAACCACAAAGACTCATTTGACCTGCTCAAACAGAAAAATGAATTAATTGATAGCTAATCTACAGCAAAATTGAGACAAGCTAATAAACTTCTCATTGCACGACATTTAATCCTGTACTTCTAAAAACAGCTTTATAAATAAAATAAAGTTCATTTTCAGTAACTGCAATGCAATTAGGTTGAATAACAAGTACACCAGTAAGGCAGCTTTGCAACATAATTTTGTTGCTTACTTTTGTTTTTAGATTAAATAGTTGGTTTTAGTTGAAAAGTGAAGGTTACATGGTGGTACAAGTACAGACAACAAACTTTCAACCAAATTGAATGTTTCATTATACTTTTCTGTACTTTCTCCATGTAAATGCAGTAAATTCCATCAAAATTTATCCCTATAATTTGGAAATGCCATCGACTCATCACAAATAAATTTACAAGATATTGTTGCCAGGTTTAATGTCTGTGACTGCAGGCAAGAAAAACCAATTATTGGCTAAATGGCAACAACCCTATTTATTCAACAACCCCTATTGACTAAATGGCAACAACCCTAAAAAGGGACACTTGAAATAAAACTCAATTTCAAACATTTGAAGCATGCAGAGTGTACTCATCTATTACTAACAGTACTCTGAAGTCCTCCTCTTTCATTGTAGATGATGTAGATGTAAAATAAATGACATTTTCTGTGATTTTTACTTGTTTTTCCTTTATTGATATAATATTACCATATTCATTAATTACTGTATTATTAATGTGATATTACTGTATCCATGGACATGCCATTGAGCATTGACAACGACCTTGTCCACTGCAAGCTTCATATCAGCAGCCATGTAGCATTTCTTCTGTATCTTTAAGCTTACATGATGGTTTGTAATTTTGCACAATTTTAATCGAGTCGAGTGATTTCACTATAACAAAAAAGATCGTAAAAAACATACCTGAAACAGAAAATGTTTTAGTGACAACCATCATATGTTTTGAAGAAATAAATCATAGTTTAGGTCAATTACTTTCCATTCTATGATGCCCGGTGCACAATTCTATATATAGCATTCTATGTACAATTTTGTGACGACCGATGATGCACTAATTTTTCGATAAGTGAATTTTTTTTGCCGAGCGAGGTAAATGTTATCAAAATTCTTTGTTGTTAATCAATTTTTTTGTTAGCTGGAGCCTTTGCTAACTGAGGTTCTACTGTAAATGCATTTTTAAGGGTGTCTCTAATTACCCTGGGGAGTGTCCCTTTTCACCCCATCGCTCGGAAATGGCTGCCATTTTTTTTGGAATGAGATAGGCTAATTCTGTCAATTACATTTTCAAGCCGACACCTGGGTGCAACTTTTATGCAAGTAAAATTTTTCAATACGGCGCATATTTTTTTTGCTCCAGACCTTAGCAGAGGTACTTTTCCATAATCACACTTTTCACACTTTTTTTCAGCGATTTTTTAGAGATAGTAAATGCTTGATTTCTTGACTAACTTTATACATAATAGATAGTAAAAATGTTGGAGTTTACACCACTATTTTTAGTTTTGCAATATTTTGATTAGTTTAGCTGCTACAACATTTCTATGAAATGTGGGACGCGCGTCCCCATTTACCCCGCCCGTCTCTTTTTACTCCGTTTGACAGTATATAATGTAATAAAAATGCAAATTGATTTAACTTTTAAATTCATATTGAGAGTGTAGTTCCAAAGATAGGTTAGTTACTTGCATTAAAGGAGCATGTATGACTAAATTGGAGCATTGAAAGTGATGTTGCTTAATTTAAAAATACTTATCATTCTATTAACTTCCACCTATCATATAATGTTTTCAGTTATTTGTGCTAGTGCAAAAATTAACAGGAAAGAACTTATTGAATGATAAAGAACACAAAAGACAATTCAATGAAATATTTGCAATATCAGATATGAAGGCTATAAAAGAACATGAAGGTTGAGCTAAGAAACACATACAAAACCTTCGTAACAATATAAATTAATTAAAATATGGAGAATAAAAAAAATACTATCAAGCTCTGAAGTATCACTATTAACTGAAGAATGAACAATAACATATTTTGTGCAGAAGGGAGTTGTGTTGCTCTCGTAGTCCAACTAAATTATTTCAAGTTTTAGGGAAATTGAATCTTGACTTCAAATGACTTATTCATATACCTACTGGTATTGTGATGGAAATTGGTCAAAAATAAAATCAGTCAAGAAATGGAATTGGAGTTCAAGCTATTGCACACAAAAATAGCAGTAGCTGGGATGGGACACTTTACCATCACAATTTTTCGCATGGATTGAAAATAATTCTTTATAGTAAAGCTTCAAATGACAGATCATCATATGAAGCAACAAATGACTGAGTAACAAAATCTAGTTTGCTCACTTACCCATTTCAAGCCTGCACAATATGTTGCTAAAATCTACAATGAAGTGGTGCATTGGTCATATTTTTAATACTTATGAGGCTGGGGCAAATTTTCATCCCCTCATGTCTCAGCTCAATCATTCTACTGGTCTGAAAAAATAAACTATTGTTTGGTTCAATAAGATCAATCATAAAGACAATATTCCAATCATAAAGCCAACATTTCAATGAGGAATGAAAAATGTTTGTTGCCAGAAATGATGATGTCACCAAGTCAATGATTTGCCATTGTTGATCGTGTATCCTGTATTACAGTATATGAGTAGGCATGCGACCATTCTAACATATATGCTTCCTAATTATAAATACCTTAATATACCAGATTACCAGCTGTCATGAGTTCAATGCTGAAGCTAGTGTCACACCAGAGTGGAATTCTATGAAGGGGGTTTAAAATGTTAGGCAATAAAAAAGTGAGATCTCTTGCAAAATACGAAAATGTCAGATTAGTTTTAAAATGGAGGTTGAGTTTCGTGCAAAAATTTACTATACATAGTACCTTGCAACCACCCCCCAATAGGCCCAACATTTCCCTCTGTTATATGTTTGAAGCTACTTATGAATTATCATGCCTCTGCCAACTACCTATAAATCTGCTCAGTTCCTAACATAGCATCACCCCCTACCATGCCATCACTCCACTACCACACAAAGTAGCCCCCACTAAAGAGAGAGACTAGCAGACTCAAAGTAGCCCCACTAAATCAATTTGCACATCACTAACAAACCACACAAAGTAGCATCAACACAGACTTAGTCACACTAAACAACACCATCACACCACACACACACTTTTAAACCAAGATTCTAGGTGTCACAACACTTTCATCTCTTTCGGGTCAGACATACAGAACATCAAAAAATGCAGACCTTAGGTAAACTCACTTAAGAGCCTGCCCAGGAACAACATTCATACAGAACAAAGAACCTCTCACACTAGTGTACAAACAATATATATGCTCAGTGCTAGACTATGCCAGCCCAGCCTGGGCCCCTAAAATTTTACACACCCTACAACAACCTACAAACCATACAAAACACAGCACTCAGAATCGCACTTGACAGCATCCAAACCACACCATCCTGCCATATCCATGCAGAAACCAAAGTGCTCCTTTGGTTTCTACCTAGATAAAGGACACCTAGATATGAGAGGCACCCAATGCCCTTCATCATCAGTCTACAAGCCACTCATCCCCTGCCATTCAGCATTACCCCCTACACCCAAGCAAAGACAGACCCCCCCACAGACCCAGCCAACTTCATCAAACATATACACACACATCTAACCTGGAATGCATTCTCAAATCCAGCAATTCACAATATCATAGATGACACACCGGAAGCCAGGCATTAGCCATACAGAACAGCAATCAAACTGTGCAGATAGGGTGCACCTCAGCAGACTTGGCTGTGGTCACCATTCCTCACTATACTCCTACAAACACTGCCTGGACAGCACTCACTCGGAACTTATACCCCCAGTGTCATGCACTCCTCTACACTGTCAAGCATGCACTGCTTGAGTGCCTGCAGCTGGTAGCCCCCAGGGTCTGGTCCAGCATAACATCCATTGCATAGCTTTGGTCCAAACAGATTGTGTGGAATTTTACAGTGCAGCACAGATTTCCTGGCACAACAACAACAACCATGCCATAAGATACAAGGATTTAAATGAGAATGGGTGCTTGGACACATTTCTTCCATTTAAGAAGTCACCTTAGTGGCATTGACAATAGATATTTCAGTTCAAAATGTACTCTCTGAACTGGCCTGAAGTATTCAAAATTGGCGTTTCATATATTCAATATCAACCTAGTGCAAAATTAGAATTTGGCAGAAGCCACCTTTGAATGAGAAAAAATGCTCATGATTGAAGAAAATTTTCTGGTTTCTATGACTTTTCCTCTCTTTTTTGGTAAAAATAAAGAAAAATCTCCATAGTGGCAAATGAGACTTGATTGTTTACATTCTCACAGCATAAAATAATTATATAATTTTAGAAAATTTGCAGGTTAAAATGACTTACATGGGTGTGATTTTTCAATATTATTGGAAAATATGCGACATTTTTCTTCATAAGTTTTACCAAAAATAAGATAAGGAGCTATCAAAATGGATTAAATTTAACATAAGCATGGGGGACATTCTTATTTCATTAGGTAATTGTTCTCTTCTGCCTAATATTCCATTTATACCAGCAACATCATACATGAAATAGTGAATAAAATTTTGAAAAAGTTTAATGAAATAAAAATGAAGTGGCAAATAGAAAATCTCTCATATGCCATTATCTCTCTCATTTGCCATTACACCCAAATGATCTCATTGATGACTTTGTAAGTTAATGCAAAACGTGTACAATTATTTTCTCTAAAAAATTCCACTCTGCACATATCAACATGTTAAATGCAATTCTAAATCAGCCAACTTTGCACAGGTGCAATTCTGTTTGGGTTCCAATTGAACTTTCCATTTCAAAATAATAAAAATGTTTTTATGGTATTCAAATATAATATTTGAGCATATTAATAAATCAAATTTTTGAGTTCTTTCAAATGTTCCATCTATTTTCATAATCAAGCTACCTGTGGGTCATTTGCTGCAGATAGAAATCAGTAATGACAAACTGGTGGGTTGCATTAGACTTAATGTGATAATAACAGTCTTGTTACATTATAATTGAACATCAGAATCTGATTGCATGATAGTATTCTCGTAGTATACAAATTTCATTTGATAAAATCATTTAACATATAGAATATTGCAAATTAATTTCCATTGGGCACTGCTCAAGAGTTAGGATGTAGGAAAACTTACCGCTTTCTTGATTTGGATCCCACGGCATTTCAAATGCTTTTATTCTTTGTGAAGCTTAAAGCGCTCACAACACTTGAACAAAAGGAAGAAAGTAATGGAAGAAAGTGTGAGGAAAGGTGCTTATGCTATTCACCGATGAATTTTTGGTCGTCAGTACAGTTTTTTGTGCAAAGTTAAAAAGTAGCTATTTTCTTTCATCAAGATCACCAGATGAAAAAATGACTGGCATTATCTATATGTACCGTATTACCTTAAAATTTTTTATTATTGTTGTTGCTGACTAGCTGAAGGTGTTGCGGTGACCTCACACAGGTCACCTTTCACACCTGGACATGGCTATGGTCAAAAAGTTTAAGGAAATTTCACAAATTGTAGTCCAATTACTTTGGTCAATTTGACATGTCAACATCTTAAACTAGCCTGTTTCCTCCTCATTGCCTTTTCATGCTTCCAAAATTTTTTACAAACTTTGTCTTTTTTTTTGTTTCTTTGCTCAGACACTGTTCACTTGCAGGGCTCCCCATTACCCCTCACAGCTTCCTTATACATGTTCCAAACTTGTAAGAAATGTGCCCACTTCTTTAATAATGAGATGTTGCATCTGCTTATACTCAGTGAACATCAATTAGGTTAATGATCAAATGGCTGCAGAGTTTGCTCAATTTATGGTTGATCATAAGATGGCCATATACTGTAGCAGAGAAGAAACTTTTTCCAAGACTCATTCTTTGTGAATCTAATGACCAGTTGAGTAACATGGAAACCAGCATTATCATATAGCCATTGAAGAAAATTTTCAACTAGATCAGGAAATTAAACATGAACTGAATCACAAATAATTTGCCAGTCAAGTATAGTAGTATTGAATATTAATAATATTGGCAGCAAAAAATAGAGCATCTTTGGCCTGTTGCCAATTCCTGTAATGTTCTTGACTTCTCTGCTAGGGATCTGAAAACTGTCCTTGTGACCAGATCTTGGAAAAACTGATGTTGAATTAAGTAACTGCATAACATCATACTTTCTTCATTTTGGGTGCTGGAGAATGGGAAGTTGTCCAAGATAGGCATAGACTGTTTGGACAAATTACACCTGGTTCAGTTGCCCATGACATCTGGTTGGCCACAGTATCCCATAAAACACAGCACCAGTTTTAGGATTACTGTAAATGACTTACTAAAGGGTTACTTGATTGGCATGAGTGGTTACTTGATAAGCATGAGAGGTTACTTGATTAGGATAGTAGTAAATTTAGATTGGGCATTCAGGGAATTTGAAGAATTTTGGTAGTCTGGTTGGCAGCAGGTACAAGGGCTGTGATTGAGAAAGAGTAAAAGAGGAGAAAACAGGTCTGAAAGAAAGGTATATATAGAAGATTATTTGGATAGCATCAACTTTTCTTAGTGTTTATTAAGAGATTGAGGTGAGGTCAAGGCCAGAAAGCTGCAGGTGCTACTGCAACAATAGTCAGCACATCAGATTGGCCTATCTTGAGGAGGCACTGAACCTTCTCGGCAATTTGCATAAAGAAGAATAGGTGCACAAGGGTCGGTAATAAGTTGGTTAGGGTATGCAGCGAGTCAGCTGTATGGATTGGTGGTGTGCAGTGGCTTGAATGGGTGAGCTTGGTGCAGACAGATTATGCTGTTGTTGGATGGTTTGAGGCATCAACAGTGATGGACATTCAATGAGGATATAGGTGGAAAAGAGCTTGAAGAGGGGATTACATGGGAGAGCTGAAGGCTTCAAAGGTGCTGGATTGGCCCCATTTTTGGCTGGGTTTTGTAGGTTCCTGATCCTGCAAGGTGGGTGTTTGTGCATCTTGGGCTATGATTCATGTGAGCATGGGGGCAAATGTTCCTGAAAATGAGGTTCAAGGCACTGGGTGCTATTTACAGTTGCAAGTTTGGGCGCCTCTTAGCCTCATAAGGAGTGTTGTTGCCCTGGCTGGATTAGGTACTTTGATTTCATAGGGTTGATGCTGCTGATCACTGCTCAGCTTTCTCAGCAGCTCCGCTTGTACTCCGGCTCTTTCCCATCACTGAAGCTGAATCCGTCGTCTGCTGTGAAATAGCATGCATGAATCTTAGCCAGGTAGTTAGGGCATTACGTGAATGTAGCTTTTTTGAAACCTTTTCAATTTAGGCCTTTTGATGGTAGAGCTCAGTCAGGACAGCAGTCTTTCTCATGGCCAACAGTGCCCAGTGCCACAGTGCCAGGATTGGAAGTTTCCAACTTCTTACTGAAATCTTGCAGCTCCTAAGTGACAAATTTTTAATACATTTAAAATCAAAAAGCTCAATCATGGACTTATGTCAAGATAATATATGGGGTAATTCATCTAGTGAGAATCTTGTGTTTTTAAAAAAATTGTGGGAAGCTTTAGTGGCAGCTTGAACAGTATATTTATTCCATGCCTGCACAGTGACTGCATGAAGGAAGCTGAGTTGATCATCTGCTATGAAAGTTCCTATTTCTGCAGCCAAGTCTACAATTTGCCAGTCAAGCATCCAGCAGCACTTTGTAAGCTGGTTGGTTCAAAACTTGACTGAAACTTGAGCTGGAGCCCTAAGATCTGTGGACATCTGCGTAATCATTTTGCAAGGAGGAGACATCTCAGAAGAGCTTAGATCAGATCTGATTGCATTTAGTGCATTTGGATAGGAAGTACTCTTTACAGGCTGATTTGAATTTTGCCAACAAGCAGTTGAGTGGCACGAGTCCACTTCCTTGGGAGATTGCACACATGACTGTCCAAATGTCCAATGACACACAATTTCTCTACAGCAATAGCTTTGATGATGCATAATGCATGGGCTCGCTAACAAATTTTCTTCATGAGCTCCCCCACAATTAGCACAGAGCTTTTTTATTGAGTTACAGTTACACACCAAGTGTTCATGAGGCCCAAGCTGCCCAGAACAGTGGCCAGAGCAAATGATATATGTAAAAAACCCAGGTTCAACCTACAAAATGTAGAGATATCTTTGAAAAAACTAACTGGCACTTAATTTCAGGGTTGGCAATTTTTTTTATTAAAAAAAATAAAATAAAAAATAAATGATTTATTTGATTTGTTCACGATTTTTTGATTTATTTGATTTTTTCAACTTTTTTGTCTTTTTGAAGTGTTATTTTTTTATGTTGCAATTAGCCTACTAACAATAACAGTATATGGATCATAATGGATGGCTAAAAAGGGCACTTATTGCCTTCAATAATGGCCAACAGGCCAAGGTGGTGTTTACCACTTAGGGATTTTTGGGTAAACAATTATTGATAAATCTATTCATTAGCTTTGTAAAGTTTGTATGGAGCAAGGTAATGAGCTAAATATTGACCATTTAACTGGCTTCAATATACAAAAACACTTCAAGAATACAGATCTTCTAAACATTGAAGAGTCACATAGCAGATAGGTAGCAGATAGCACAGTGCACAGCACTATCAACAGATCTACTAGTTTTATGTCTTATAAATCTACCAGACTCTACCCTCTATACACACCGACAGTAGTGACTGAGTTACTGACTGCACTGTCCCCATTTAATTCAGACCAATAAACCAATACTAAACATAAACTGAACGATAACCAAACAAACCTCATACGACTTGAAACGACACTTAAATTATGAGAAAATCTAATACTGTTTGAAATGAACATGTGCACAATTCAAATATTTTATATCCATTCACTGCATTTAATTATTAAATATATAGTCTTATAATTGTAATTGTTTTGTTTCTAGTTTTAAATTCACATATTTAAAGATTGAAATTAAATATTTTAATTAGAATACTCTTATTAGGGTGGAAAATCTTTCTAATTGCCTAAAAGGTCAATACAATCTCAACCTCCCAATATACAGGGTGGGGGAATACTGATTGAGCAGTTTTGAGGTAAAATAAAAGAGTAATGGAGGTACATAATGAAGAAAGTTTATTTTCTTAGAGGTTAGCATAACATACCATTTAGAATACTTATGTTTTGAAAACAATATCTGAAAGATGGGGGCTGTTAGCTGCAACACACTGTTGGAGTCGTTCTCGGAGGAGGGAGTAACCGTGATAGTGAATTCCGATCGCTGTGCTGCAATGTTGCAAAATTTCTTGCAGTCCATGATGGAAAACATTGTTGAAAATGAAGCATTGGGAGACGTGTGGTTCCAGCAGGATGGGGCTACAGCTCACACAGCCCGAATGTCACTCAATGTTTTGTAACGCATGTTTCCCGGATGTCTGGTGTCTCATAGGGGTGATTTACAGTGGCCTGCAAGGTCACCTGATTTGAGCATTTGCAATTTCTTTCTTTGGGGACATCTAAAAGAAAGAGGTTCAGAAGTCACCCTCACACCCTACCACAGCTAAGGGAACGGCTTATTGCAGCAGAGGTTATGGCCATACCTCGCCATATGTGTGAACGTGCTGTAGAAAACTTCCGAGAACGACTCCAACTGTGTGATGCAGCTAATAAACCCCATCTTCCTGATATTGTTTTCAAAACATAAGTTTTTTAAATGGTAGGTTATGCTAATGTTGAGGAAAATAAACTTTTTTCTTTATGTACCTCCATTACTTTTTTATTTCGCCCCAAAACTGTTCAATCAGTTCTGCCCCACCCTGTATAAGCTAGCTAACACATTTAAATTGTATATTGTAATCAATATATAACAAATAGTCAAATAGTTAAAGACTACTTATAGCCTTATAAGAATTAGCTAAGCTGCTAGCTTGGGCCGTTAGCTGCAACACACTGTTGGAGTCGTTCTCAGAGGAGGGAGTAACTGTAACAGGGAATGCAGATCGCTATGCTGCAATGTTGCAAAATTTCTTGCAGCCTTGGATGGAAAACATTGTTGAAAATGAAGCATTGGGAGAAGTGTGGTTCCAGCAGGATGGGCTACAGCTCACACAGCCCGAATGTCACTCAATGTTTTGAAATGCATGTTCACAGACTCTGAGGGGTGATTTATAGTGACCTGCAAGGTCGCCTGATTTGAGCATTTGCGATTTCTTTGCGATTTGAGCATTTTCGATCTAAAAGAAAGGGGTTAAGAAGTCGCCCTCACACCCTACCACAGCTAAGGGAATGGATTATTGCAGCAGAGGTTATGGCCATACCTTGTGTGAACGTGCTGAAGAAAACTTCCGAGAATGACTCCAACGGTGTGATGCAGCTAACAAACCCCATCTTCCTGATATTGTTTTCAAAACATGATTATTTTAAATGGTATGTTATGCTAATCTTGAGGAAAATAAACTTTCTTCTTTATGTACCTCCATTACTTTTTTATTTCGCCCCAAAACTGTTCAATCAGTTCTGCCCCACCCTGTATAAGCTAGCTAACACATTTAAATTGTATATTGTAATCAATATATAACAAATAGTCAAATAGTTAAAGACTACTTATAGCCTTATAAGAATTAGCTAAGCTGCTAGCTACGTACAATGTACTGCACACTTGATGCCTCTGTACCAAAAACATTCAATTTATTGGAACCTAATACACACTAAAGGCAACAAGTTTATGAACCATTTTGTCATTCATAGTAAATTTATGCTAAACCATGAATAACAATACCTCAATATAAATTAAAGACTGCCACTCAATATATTTAAATATATGAAAAAATCAAATAAATAAAAAAATTGAAAAAATAAAAAAAATCATGATTTTTATAAAAAAATCAAGTGATTTAATCACATGATTTAATCATTTTGATTTAA